CATACGAATTAGGGACTCAAATTACCAAAATTAACAAGCTAGAATATAAAATAATAACATCTTATTTTTTCTATTTGCTAAGATATTGCTCATGTAACAAATCAAACACAGTGGCACCCCACCCACCTCCTTCCATTTTTGGAAATGCTCCAAACTCAAATTACAAATATTGATAAACTAGAATAAGAACATCTTATCTTTTTGTTTGCTACGTAATAAATCAAACACAGTGGCACCCCACCCACCTCTTTCCATTTCTGTAAACACTCCCTTATACACACTTTCTATATATGACACAAATAACCAATTGAAAGCTCACTGGCTTTCTTAGCCATTTTAAATTCTTAGGACGCCATTTCTTTCTTTGTGTCTTTAATCTGCTCGATATTGCATATTTTTTTATACTAAAATACAACTTAGTGCACAATGTTTAAAGGTTTTTAGCAACCGAGTACAAAGATCATAACTAGAACAGATAATTGTTTGCTTTCCTTCTTTATTTACTATTCTATGTTTTAAGAAAAATAAGTTTAAAACTTATTTCTAAATAGCAATAATCTATATACATATATAATGTATAATAATTGAAATGTAACTATAGTCTACAAAGTACTAGTTTATTAAAACACAGCCAAGACAAGTTACTTTGTATAGACCAGAGGTCAGTTTTATGTTATTGGATATAGTGGCATGTGTGCCGCATCATTGTAACTTCTGTATCGTTAGACAGGCATGGCTGAAAGGTCAATATAATAAAAAATAGTAAATATATATAAATGTATAATGTTATGAGATTTAAGCTATTTAGTCTAAACATTTATGATTTTGTGTTATAAGTTGTGTTTATACTAGAATGAAAGAGTCATAATTTATACATATTTCCTAATTTTTTATGGTGGTTACAAGAGTGGTCAAATCTACCAAACCCGTACAGAGATTCATTACTGAAAATAACAGATAAAATATAAGGTTTTTAATTAAGAAACGTTTGATAACTATCTGGACATTATAAAGATTTTGCACGTCAAATTTGAAAATTTCCTGATGCATAAAAGTATGCTTAAAATGACAATTACTTTGCATGATAGATAGGCAAAATGTGAAAAGAAAAAAGGCATGAGAAAAACATTGCTTTAAAAGTTATAGCATGAAAACTATAACAAGCACAAAATGGTTACGAGGTCGGTCCCAGGAACCGATCCCATGCTAAAAGAGTTAACTCTTCTAATACAGGTGGGTGGATTCCACCCAGCCCTTATTCCTGAAAGTAACCATAAAGCAGTTGTACTGTAACTTTTTAAAATGTACATATATCTTCACAGAATTTTGCAGATTATCAATAAACATTACAAAGTAATTTTGATTTTAAGATTAAAAATACTTATATGCATCAGAAAACTGTCAAATTTCATATGCGAAATATCTATAACCTAACATCCTCCATATAATTATCAAACGTTTTTTTTATCTGTTATTTTCACTATTGTATCTCTGTATGGGTTTGGTCGATTCAACTGAACCTCATAAACACTATAAAAATAGGAAATAGATATAAATTACATTTTATCACTCTAGAATGACTACAAATTATAACAATTAACCACAAACGTTTAGTCTAAGTAGCTTAAATCTCATAACATTATACATCTATATATATATATTTATTATTTTTATTTTATCAACATGACAGAAGTTGAATGATGCAGCACACATGCTACCGTATCCAATAATAGAAAACTGGCCTTTACAAAGTGATCTTGGCTGTGCTCTAGTGGACTAGTATTTTGTAAAATACAGTCACATTGTGGTTATAATACATTATATATGTATATACATTATTACTATTTACAAATAAGTTCTTAAATTTCATTTATTTTTCTTAAAACATAGAACAGTAAATAAAGAAGTATAGAAAACAATTATCTCTTAGTTATGAACTTTGTACTCATTTGCTGCTTGCTATAATTTGCTAAGCCTTATCAAATTTTGCATGTGGAGAATGCAAAAGAAAATTTGTTTAGGTTTTAAGTATGCATTTTGAAATAACAAAAAATCATAAATTACTATATAAATACCACAGAATTCCACTATAATGTATCAAGCTTAGTAACTAAGCTGTATTTGGGTCTAAAAAAATATGATTTTTTAAGCTCAATACTGTCTTACACCACTTGGAATCTACCATGAAAAGAGAGGGTTTCCTGGGTAAATACTTTGCAGTGGCTCATAGAACCACATGGGTCACATTCTAAGCTTTCGACTGGTTATTCACACGTCATAGGTGTACATAAGCAAGTATTTCCAAAAATGAAAAAAGTGGGTGGGACCCACAGTGTTTGATTCACTAAATGTAGTGATATCTCAGCAAACTGAAAAGCTAGGTTATTTTTATATTCTAGCTTGTCAATATTGGTAATTTGAGGTAAGAAGTTATAGACTTTGTACTTGGACGGCATAAACATATAATCTGAACCAATACTGCATTCACCATACCATGTAACACAAAAAAATCAATATATAGGTTTTTTTGTAATATTTACTTTTAAAATAAGAAATTAGCTAATGTATACTAAAATTTGAATTATATTCTACAGTTTGATACCAAACTTATTGACATGCCCTTTGACCCTTGACCATAAGAAGACCTGTCTTGATATGGTTAACTAGTGAAAGAATAAGTTTCTTATACACACTATTAGCAAACACCCAACTAGAGAAGTTAGCCAGCTATGAAATATTTAAATGTAAAAAAGAACAGTTGACAGCTTTGAAGATTTACAGCATTTTAAATTTGTCCTGCAAAATCATAGTTTAGTTTACCAATTTTAACACTGAATCTCTAAGTCAAGCATATAAAATTTGACAAATTCACTTTGTGGGGGAGGATCAGCTAAATCCACAAATGCAAACACCCAACCAGAGGAGTTAGCCAGCTATAAAACATTTATAAGTAAAAAAAGAACAGTTGAGAGCTTTGAAGATTTACAGCATTTTAAACTTGTCCTGCAAAATTATAGTTTAGTTTCCCATCTCCGAGTGAAGAATATAAAATTTAACAAATTCACTAGGTGTGTGAAGATCGGCTAAATCCCAAAAATTAGGTATTGCATAACAAGTTGTGAGGTGCAGTTTGCTGTATTGTTTTCAGTGAACTGAGTGATCAATCATATTTTTTTCCTGGCCCAAACTAGGTCATGACCAACAATGAACTAGGAAGCTACGTCCATGCAATTAAACTCGTACAGATAGCAATAGAGAGCCTACATTTGGTAGTGTGGATTCTTATTGGAGATTACAGGACAAATCACTCATGAATACAGTATAGTTTGTGGTAAAAGTTTCCTCTTTTTTAACTCTGACAAAATGATCACATCTTCATCTCAAAGCTGTTTTTGAAATCTTGCACACTGATGGATTCAACATAAAGGTAAGGCCTATTCTGGTATAATTTTAGCATGATTGGTCAACTACTGGAATTAGGTGGTCAGGACTGATCTAACAAAGGCACTCTAGTTGACTCAATGTTAAGAAAATATTACTTTTTAGAGGTGAATAAAATTTACTTACTTTGAAAACACTTCATTTCCTCTGGTGTCTTTAGAATTTACTAATGGAGACTCAGCAAGGTTTGGAGAGTCTTGAAAAATAAAAATTTTTACTTGATACTGCCCATTCAATTAAATCAGTAAGTATAACTGAGATTTAAGCTATTTAATAATAATAATAAAAGCACATTATTCACGTACAGGAATAGTTTTAAATAATTTTCAACCACCAACAACAAGATAATACTGTAGGCCAGCATTTCCCAAATTTTTGTCACATGCTTTCTTGCGTGCCCCACTTTTTTTGAATGAGAGAGTTAAAGTGATGAGATGTAATACACAGATATGCATCAAAATAATGTATGTTGTAGTAATTACTTATTATTTTCTTTAATAAAAAAATATACTAAAACATTTTATATTACTGCACTACTGACATTCCTAACTGCTCACACCCCCTCAAAATATCATTTTCACCCTCCTGGGAGGAGTACCCCACAATTTGAGAAATGCTGCTGTAAGCTTTGAAGCATAGTGATGCCATCATTATGACATTAACACAAGTATTGTTAACTGAATAGCTTTTTCATAAATAATATGGAAGTTATTAATATTTAAATAAATTTAAGAAAAAACATAAAAATGTCCTAGTGTTATTATATAGTTCATTTGTTTCAAAATTACTAAAAAAAATATTTTTCTTTAACACATTTTTGGGTCTTTCAGAAGAATGCAATGGAATTCAGAGTTGACACATTAACTGTAACCACTACAAATTCATTAATTATATCCAGGTATATTTATGATTGTTTGGGAATGCTACCAATCAAATAAAAAAGTTCAGTAAGTTTCTTTATAGGTTTCTGGAAAATGAAAGCTTCTGATCAAGAAAAGATCAGTTTCTTTGGAAAAAGCATTTCCTACAAGATGTATAATTCTTTAAAGTAACAAAACATTTTTTGACTTTAGCTATCAAGTTCTAAAGCTTGTTACAGGAGCATAATTATTAACTCTGTAAGACTGAGTGTACATATGTATTTGACAAAACTTGTATAGTTTGTTTTATTGCATTGCAAAAAACTGCAGGATGAAATAGTTTGAAACTTAACTTTATACGGATTATATAGCTTCTGGAACTAAAATAATTTATTTTTTTATATGTGATATATTTTTTTTAAACAAGTACATTGTGGTGGCTCACAACTGACTTTTAGTTATGGACTGCATAACACACTGGTGGGTCACATATTACAAGTGGCTTCAATGAGCTAATTAAACAGTCAAATATGAGACACCTGGGTTAAGTAAAAAAAAAAGTGTGGTTGGCACTAGGGTATGAATTACTAATACTACTGGTAGCAGCGAACATATTAAAAAACTAAAATGCTTACTTTTGTTGTAAATTTTAATCACTGATTTTTATGTCTTCCTACAGATTATATTTGTTTTGATTTAAAAAGAATTGCACGCAGTTTCACTGTTTATGACCATTGGCATACAATAATAATGTTTTTACTCTACCAAGATTATAAGCAAGCTGCCTTTTTTTATAAATAGTTAATCAATTAATATATGTAACTTTAAAGCCTGTTTTATATTCATTTTATTTTCGTCACCAATTCAAGCAGTTACTTACAGTTCAAAATTATTCAGAGGGGCTATCAGAAATTCACAAATACTAATGACTTCATTCAGACTGCACTGAAATCAATCAAAATATGAGATTATAAAAAATATGTATAAAATCAACTAAATAAAATTTCATCCAACAAACTTAAACTGAAGTTTTTTTAATGTGCAAAAGAACAACTACAATTTTTTTTCATATGTTTATCCTTTTATTCTTTTAACATTAACATTTTCCTTACCTGAAAATTTATTTCCAATAGGTACCTCTACAAACAGATTAACTATCTCAGCACATCTGCATGCCATTAGCCTTGAGGCAACTCCCACCTAATTTGATGTGATTTTACATGAATTGCACCAATGCATGATGATGTCATCATGCAACAAAAACCTTTCACCAACAGGAGGCTAACACACATCTCCACGAGTAATAATTCCCACTATGTATTTGCACTTGTGAACCTTCATTTTTTGAGGAAGCAAGAAAATATGCACTGGAAGTGGGAAGAATGGGTGGGAATGTTTGAGGAGGTGAGTATCTGTTGGAAATATACTTTCAGGTAAGGAAAATGTTAACTTCCAAGATCATAATCTCACCTCTTCACACAGATTAGTTAGAGGAAGGAGGGACTGTTGAATATTTATCTAGATGATCATCCTTCAGAATACATCCAAAGGATGCCCAAGGGGTGTAACACCCCATAGCAGGGCTTAATAGGGGCACACCCATGGGAAATTACATCTTGTTTTATCCAGGGTTTAATCTTTGCCTGTATGGCAAAAGAGAAGAGGCATAAAAGCTAAATTTGTGTTACAGGATAAGCAGAATTACAACATGACTGTCCGAATAATTGCACACAAGTTGTTGGACAGCCAATGTATTTAGTGTGGTAGGGGCACATTCAGACTGTAACTTGTGTGCTTACTTCAACTCTATCACCAGACTCTACAAGACTTACACAAACTGTAGGAGGAGATGTGCTACAGATCAGGCAATTTCCATTTGTGAAGGGGGGAGATATCCCTCTAGAGGAGGTTAATAGAGGGTAGGTATCAAGAAAGAGGTAAGATCAGGCCTGGCTGAGAAATCATTAGGCAGAACCTAAGGATAAGTAACAGAGGACCATAAGATAGGAAGCCTGGAGTTGAGAAGGGTGGCAAAATCATCCAAGATGAACTAGTCCAACCAAGGATTAAACCTACAGAGGTTCTGGGGGTGTAGAGGCTATTCTGTTGACAGATTATATGGACTGGCCAAGAAAGACAGTCAACCACCAAGATTCAAGCTCCTGGCAAAGGATGTAAACTGGCTCAGTAGCATATGGTTAATGTCCAAAACAAAAACATAAAAAGCCTTAGAGTAGAAACTATAAGGACAGTTGGAGCAGGAAAAGACTGTGGAATAGGCTGAGTGGAACATGATCAAGTGAACCATCAGCAGAGGCATGAATTACAGGGTTCATACACCTTCAGTGATTCAGATTTCTAAAACTTTCCATAGTGCTTAAAACTGATTTTTCAGACCAAATATAACATGAAGAAATTCATATAATCCACAGTCACAATTTATTCTGTATATATTATACGAAATAATATCTATATATGTTTGACTATATGTGAAACACAATGACTTTTCCACCATATTTGCAATATTATTCACTTACTTGCTAGACTACAGCATCATGTTGATTTGTCACAACAGTAGGCCTAACTTTTTGTCTGGCATCAGCCTAGTTTCAGACAATATTAGACGTGTGCAATTTATGCACATTTGCCTCGTGCTTTTTCCCCTTCATATGGCTTATCACCACAGACTCCCTCATACTGCTAACACTGAATGTTTTATGGCACACAATGAAACAAGCTTCTTGGCAATGTGCACCCGTAACGAGCCATTCCTTGTACTCATCCCTTCATAAGCCATGCATTGCTAAATATACATTTGCCTGGCATGTTATATGCAAGTACATAATCAAGTCAATACCACAGAACATAAAAATAATGACAGAAAAGTGGATGAATCATGATTACATAATTGCTTGAAAGGTGAGTCTCAGACATCGACTTCCTCGTTCAACCTAGTATCACTGAATTAATTCAAGTTGCTATTCATGCATGCTTTTCACAAAGGAAAAAACTAAGGGCTCACTTGGAAAATTGTTGCCCTTGAATATTATAAGATGTAATCATCAAATAAACAAATTATGGAGAAACTTGGTTTATAATACAGAAAGAAGAAAATTTAATTTTCCTTGACTTTTCCAAAACCCTAGAGTAAATTCTCATATTTCCAAAACTTTCTTAAATTCATATGAACCCTGAAATGGGTACATGCTTAACAATTAGCAAGAAGGTTGAGCACGTTGATGTGGAGTGAGTTCTTGTTCAGTGTCCTAATGTCAGAAGACCTGTCCTCATCAAAAAAATGAACCTCAATCAGGCAGATAAGCATCTAAGAATGAAGAGATCTGGTTTTAGAGGTGGTAAGTGAATGCAGGAAGTATTAAAAGCAAGACCCAATCACTGTAACAAATCCTTGAGGAGAGGCTTACAAAATATATGCCAGATATGCCATGGCTCATAGGCAAATATAGGCTGAAGTTGGTAGATATGAGAGAAGAAAATGCTCAAAGTACCCAACAATAAGTGTCAAAAAGGACTTAGATCCCAAGATTAATCCTCCACCCCATCCACCCGTAAGAGAAGGGAATTGGAGAAGAGGAAACATCTGAGAATGGGCTAAAAGATATAAATAAAGAAAATGTATGCTAGCCAAAGGTCATGAATATAATAACAAAATCTCTCATGATACCAGTTAATAAAAGAAAGGCCAATGCTGAGTTGAAAGAAAGAGTAAGGAAAAGGAAGAGATAAAAAAAAGACAGGACAGAGAAAACAAAAGGATGGGCCAATAGAGACACATATGAAAGTTTCCAACACATTGGTCATGGTTAACCATAGACAGGGTGAAAAAGATGATAAATTGGTTTGGAAAGAGAATAATAAGAAACAGGAAGAAGAGCAAGAAAAGAGACTATGGTGGAGAAATGAAAAATGACTGTCAGAAGAAAATGAGACCAACAGCAGGAGTACAGAAAGGTACCAATAGTAACATACATATGTGACAGTCACTGGCAAGAAGATGAACTAAGCTTCTGGTAGACGAATTATGAGAAAAAAAAGGCCTGGAATCCAGAATGGAAAAGTGGAAAGGAGACTGATCTAGACAAGGAATAGAAGTAAAGGGCAAGGTCAAAACAGAGGAAAAAAAATGATGAGGAAGAAGTCATATAACATCTGACCAACACCAAGGGAAAAGGAACATCACTGAAGATATCTGGGTAATAATAGGGAGCCAGATGAATGAGTACACAAGAAGAAAGATGGGGTACAGTAAATAGAAATGTAATTCAACCAAATGAGTCCTGCCAGCAGGAGAACAAAGTATGGAAGGATAGAACAGAAGTGAAACACGCCAAACAGTGAAGGGAACAAATGTTTACACAGAAGCCATCAGAAGCAATAAGGAGTGCCTCACATAAAGGTTGGAATTAGGAGAGAGAATACAAAAGGTTAGAGAAAAAAAACACGAAAAAAAGGAGAACCAACAAGAAGGTGAAATAGAAGGTAAAGGGCTTGATCCCCTAGTTGGCCAGATAGATACCAATGACAGTGAATTGGGAAAATGAAGGGAAGAAAGTCTACAAATCACAACAAAAGGACCCACAAACATCAGGGGGAAGAGGAATTTGGGCATGAGAAAGGAGCTATTAGTGAAAGGAAAGGAAAAGAACATAACTAAAAATGAAATCCAGAAAGAGATTAAAAGGTTAAGGTTGTTTTTTGAAAGGTAAAGTACTACCCAAAGCAAATTAGGAAACAGAAATTCAACCAACAAGACAGGAGTATGTGGTAATCCACAACACATTGAACAATGGCTGTAGTGACCCAGACAATCAACAAGCCTCCAGAACTCACATCAAAAATAGGGTATAAGTGTGAACAACAATAAACAAAGAATTTGTAACAAGAACCAAGAAAATCAAAGTTTCGTTAATGATGCAAATCTCAATAACTTGAACACAGATGAAAAATTTTAACATATCTGTACAATAAAATGCCGAGGAGAAAAATGAAGATTCACGAGTGCAAATGCATCAGAGGAAGTTGGTGCACATGGAGGTGTGACAGACACCCTGCTACTGGTGGAGGGCTTTTGCCACACGATGATACCATCATGCAGTGGTGTTATTAACATAAAATCACAAGAAATTAGGTGATATTTACCTAAAGGCTAATGGCATGTAGTTTCTTTGGCAAACATGCTGAGGAAGACAGCTAATCTGTGTGTAAGGATGAATTATCGTCCTGGAAATAATTGTTTTAAAAATACCCTATCCCTAATCTACTATCATTATATTTATTAGTTTCAACTAGATAAACAACAGCTGAATCATTTTAATGATTATCCTTACTGTTTTTTGGTCCAGGAGAAAATCCAGCATTGTTAGGAATTGGTGTATTGTTTCCTGATAATTCTTTGGCTTTTAACTTAGATTCTTGTTGGGCTTTTTTAAGTTCCTCAATTGTCTTGTCCAAATGATGTGGATCAGACTGTATGAAAAGTAAACAGTATATAGCATTAAATTCATTTAAAAGATTATATATATATCATCATAGGTAACAACTTTTACTTTTCCCGAGGTGACCAAGATTAGGGTTATACTTGGCTTTGTATTTTTGAAACACTTCGAGACAAGACAGGTTTTTAAATTTGCTCCAATTAAAATTAATTAATGCATAACCATAGTAATAGATGAGGCAGCATTTCTAAGTATGCACCATTGACCTGGAGCATTCTTTCAGCTCTAGAGTACTGAATACATCTCACAACAAAACATTATAGGTATTGCACTTTTCCCTAAATGCTGGGCCCCATAATCCCCCTCTTTTTTTTTTAGAGGGGGGCAGAGTTTTAGGACCCACTTTATTCGGCACCTATGCATCTCATTATTTCCATTCAAAAACTTTATCAAATATAAAACCTAAATAAATGTTTGGGAGTTTCACATCAAAATTACTTAAGAGTGACTTCGTTAAAAACAGAAGCAATATATTTCTAAAGTTCAGTACCAACCAACCCCCATCTCCTATTGTGCTGACACAATTGTACACAGATGATTATACCAACCTTTCTTCTAGTATATAAAGCTAAAACTGTATGACAAATATCTTCAATAACCTCTTCAGTCACACCAAACATTAAGTACCATGCTGGTTTACTTGGTAGAGGGATCTAAAAGGAAAATCAATCTATCAAAAAAACAATTTCTATTAAAAAAAATTATTTCAAGTAAAATTTTTTGAACTTTACCAATTAGTGGAATTTCTTTTATTCAGTTACCTTACTTAATGGACTATAATCCTCTTTTAATCTTCTATTATTGCTAGTTATAATTTCCTTTAAAAAACATGTACTAAATAATAATAATAAAATCAATATTTCCACAAACCTTTAAAAGTTGAAAAAGCAAGACAGAATAATCTTGGGTTGAAACACACACACACATAAAGTAAAAATGTTACTTTATATTTTGAAAGATTTTCTTTAGCATTAAGTGTATCACTAAATTTCAATCCCAAATTTTTAGAATAATATTTTCATTCCAAATATAAAAGTGTTACTTTTATAACTCACAAGGCCAAATTTTTATAGCTCCAGCTAATTTTTCATTCTGTAACTAGCTTTTAAGTGGGGCTTTGAGGCAGCCTATGAATTAAAGCAAACCCAAACAACCTAGTTAAAACTAAAGTACATAACAAAATGTCAAAATATAAGCAAATAAGGTTTTTTTAAATGTTGACAAAAAATTATCTTTGGTTTTTATAAATTAAAAAAAAAGTTAATGTTAAGACATTATATTGGAAAATTTTAAGAGGTCAGAAAGATGGGAAAACATGTAATTTATGATTAAGAAAACAGTTTCAAAAAATATAGCTTTACACTTTCCACAAAATATACTGCAATCATAATTCTTAAACATGTACCACAGATTAAAAAATATTTACTTGTAAGAGCCGGGCACTGAGATAAATACAGGCACAAGCGATACTTTCAGGATGATATTGAACAAAAACTTCAGATCTCAGACTGTCATTCATATAGTTCCTAAAATATACAAAGATTTTCAAAACCTGTAAATTTTAAACATAAAACCATAAAATTAGTTTCCATTTTCCTTCTTTCTTTTGATCAAGTTGCACATACACTGATGTGCAAAATATAATGTTAATTTACCCAAAATAAATATTTGGAGTATTTAAAACTTTTAACTAAATATACGTCCACCTACAGGACACTGGCCTTCTATCCAACCCACATAGGCTATAAGGGGCAAACCAAGAGCAGAACAAAACACTAAACATACAACACATGGCTTAATTAAGCCAATTTTCTCCGCTTGCCTTTGTGTTTCAAGCAGATATTCCTGTACAAGTTTCCTTTAGTCACTTGGCCACTGTCTTATTCACAACTATTCTACATTTAAAATAGCAAAATTCTTCTCTAGTTTTTGGTTCCAACAAAAATTTCAAGATGTCATGCAGCCACTTTCAAGGAAATATAAATAACTAACGCATGTAGATTAGATACTTTGTTCAATGGGCAATAAAACAATAAAATTAATTATAAATAGATGTATACTGTTACAAGTTTAAAGTTACTTAAGATAAACAAATGTAGTTTCATGCTACATTTGAAGTCATTCTAAAAAGATGGTAATTTAAT